GAGAGAGAGAGAGAGGGGGGGGGGGTGAGTTGTCTCTCCTTTTTTTTTTTCTCTTCTTTGGTTGTTGTCGCTGAACGCTAGTCCGTGTCGTACGCGTTGGTTTCTCTCCTCCGCTCTGTGTTTATGGGCGCCCGTAGGTGATAGTTGGCCGACGCCCACCGGTAGTCATGCTCTCGGATGCGGAGTTCTCCCACCGCCTTGACGCTGCGTTAGCGCAGGTGACGAAGAGCTTCCAGCACGCCATCCCCTTTGGTGGGCGCATGGTGGAGCTCGGCGGGTCTCTTATGGATGCCTCCATGCGGCCCGGCGCCTCGATGCCTCGCGCTTCTTCGCTCCCTCGTGCAGGCGAGTTACTTGACACACAGAGGGACGCGGAGGCGCAAGCCACGGGGGAGGCGTTACGGGAAATCGCAAAGGCCGAGAGCGAGTCCCGCGTGGAGGGTCTGCAGCACTGGCTGGAACGGGCTTCCGAGGGGCGTCACATGGGCGAGTGGTGCCTGAGTGTGCTCAATAGCCTGTCGGGCTGCCTGGGGTCGATGCGAGACGTCACGGGGGCCGTGCAGGAGCAGAGCAACCTCCTGAGCAGCAACGCCTCCGCCCTCATGGTGCGGAAGACAAAACTGGAGCTGGTCCAGGAGGAGCTTGAGCGGATGATTGGGCATTTCACCCGCATCGATGTCCTGACGCGGGAAGCCGAAAGCCCCGCGCTCTCGGCGGCCTCCACACGCTACCCAGGCATGCTGCAGGAGATGGAGGAGGAGATGCAGTTTCTGTCCCGCAATCCCCAGTTCTTGTCCTCCAAAACGTACGCAACGCGGTTGGCTCTGGCGCAGCAGCGGGCATTTCAGTGTCTAAAATACGCCATCGTCGCATCCCTGCGGTCGGCACAAACTGCGACACTGGATGCCGAAGCCTACCGTGAGTCCTTTTATCTGCGACGGCGGAGGAGCTCCACTGACGCCGAAAATGCGGCGGGACCTGCAGCCACAACGACAAACACCACTACCAGCAGCATCACCGTCTCCGTCTCCTTGCCGCTTCCTGGCGTAAAAGATGACTCGGACGCTCAACGCGCCGTCGCAGAGGCGCTTAGACGCATCAACGCCTTTTTTTGCGAGAAACTCAGTGAAAAGGCCTCCCTTCGACGAATGATGGAGGCACGTGGGGGGGAAGGCGAGTCGACGGATGACATGAACGACAATGAGGTCCTTGACGCCTACCGTGACACGCGTGTATTAATTGTGGGGCCACTGCTACAAAACTGGCTGGAAGCATGGTGTGGCGTGGATGCGACGGTGCAGCCAATGCCAAAACTTGTGAAGCACCTGAGCTCCCTCATGAGGATTGCCTTGATGGGAGAGAAGGATGTCTTTGATGAGTTATGGCTTAGGGAAGACTTCAGCGCACGTGTTTTCCAGCAACTTGTTGCTGGTCTTTCAAGTGAGGTCTACCACGTCTTTCGCTCCCAGCTGTTGCAGGTGGATGAGCTGGAGGTGTTGGCGCAGACAATAGAGGCGCTTCAGTGGGAGACTACAAGGCCTGACGATGTTGCAGAGCTTAGCGGACTTCTCACTAAATTAATTCAGGACACACAGGAACGGTTGATATTTCGCACCAGTGTGTTTTTGCGTCAGTCGATCATGCGTGGAGGCCCCACCAAGGCGATGGTGCAGGAGTTTCAAAACGACGGCGTCACCTCGAGTGAGTCCTACATCCCGGCGCTTAGTAATTGTGTGGCGCTCCTGCGGATTCTTTACCCTTCCCTGGAGTTTTCCGTCTTCTCGGTGTTTGCGGAAGAGGCCATTCACTGCACGTTAACGCAAATGCATGAGCTGGCGCGGCTTATGAGTCAACAGCGCGGGGAGCACAGTGCCGCGAAAGGCCTTATGTGCCAACTGTGTCATCTGCTTCACCTTCGCGAGGAGCTCTCGCGTATTGACGAAAACATTACTGTCGTGGAGAAACGCATTGATCTTAGCAAAATTGCGCGGCGACGGCTTGAAATTGTGCAGTCCTCGCGAGAGTCGAAGAAGGATGTGGAGACGGAAATCAAGGTCTGCTGCGAGCGTCTGGTGCAGATGCTTTTCTCAGAGGTCTCCGCCCCGCTGTCGGGAGTTGCAAGGAAAAAAACGGAGGAAATTCAGGCCGCCGTTGCCGAAGCGGAGGAAAAATGGGTGACTCAGAAGGAATTGCTTTGCGCGTTCATCTCCAATGCGACAACGCGGGAGGTTATCCTGCGCCCCGTGAGGGCGAGGCTGGACGAGTTGCTGCGTGAAACGGACTCCATACAACAACAACAACAGCAACAGCAGCACCAGCAGCAGGCGGTGGTGGGGCCAAGGGGCGAAGGAGAGAATGGGGCGCTGCGAACCCCGTCTGCGCCGGTGGCAGCAGGCGGCACTCCCTCCGTGCCCGAGTCTGGGGGGCCAGCACCGGGAGGAGACGGAGGGGCTGCGGAGGTGTCGCAACAGGCGGTGGGGCAGCAATCCGCAGTGCCGGAAATGATTCGGTGCCCGCTGCAGGGAGACCCGAACTTGGTGTAGTGTGTGCGGTGGAGCTGCGGCAGATGCAGAAAAGGGGGAAGGAAAAAGGGGATGCGATGGCGTCCCCTGCGTGAGACCAGTGCCTGTATGGCTTCTGAAACTAGTAGGCGCTTTCGCAAAACACGTGCTCCTTTTCCCCTCTCTCTCTCACTCACTCACTCACTCACTTGCCAAGTCAACACTTGCGGAAGTGTGTATGTCGTTGTCGCGGCATTTTTAGGGAACCGTGGCGCAGAACCCCTCCCAGGCATTTTCAAGCAAAGGCCCAAATACAGACGGCGGGGAACAGCGCGGGGGCTTGAGCAAAGAGCGAGCTTGATCTGACGCGGGCGGGCCTCGGGAGTTAATGTTTAGGTTTTTTACGACCATCAAGAAGTTGGATGGCGGCCATGCTGACACCACGGAAAGGGTGGGCGAGAGAGATGAGGCGGCGGTTGCGGCGGAATTCACGAGGTTTCTTAGTCTGCCCTCAACAGAAGGGATTCGCTCCGAGATTGAAAGGCTGGATAGTCGCTGCGGGTCCTCCAGCTATGTGTATCCGTATTCCTCGGACACCGGCCTTGAAGCATCCGTCTTGGCGCTGCTTGACGGCGCGTCTCCGCAGCCAGCCTTACCCGCACGGCTACTGACGCTGCTGCTACAGCGCCTGGAGTACGCTTGCGCCCACGTTGAGGAAGAAGAAGTTGCCGACTTCCTCCAGGTCTCGCTGACCGCCCTACATGCGCTACTCCTGACCGATGAAGCAAGGTTCGGGCCAATGATGCTGGCGCTTGGCCTCGATGACCACTTGCTGCTTGTGCTACAATTTGTTCGAACGAATGTGATGAGTCGAATCTCCGCGTGGACCAAGACGACGACGGCGGCCGCGCCGACGCCTAGCACGGCTATCCCACCCGAGGACCTGAGCGAACCCCCCTACGACAGTGGGACACGCTATTTTCCAAATGCCACTTTGCAACCTCATCTCATGCGACGGGGTGCGATGCTGCGTATTCTTCGCGAAACGATGCGGCTGTTATTGGCACTCCACTTTACTCCCGCGCCCACGGCGGCCGGCGTCACAGGCATGTCGTCGCACAGTTTGTTTATGCGTGGGATGATCCGTTATCGGGCGGACAGCACCACCTTGCTGCCCTCGACGACGACGACGACGACGACGACGACGACGCAGCCGCTCGCCTCTCCCGCCACGGAGGCAGCAGTTGGAGCTGCCAGTGCTGCAGCCGCCCCCCTCGCGTGCAGCGAGGGAATGTTGACAGAGTGTGGGCATCTCTTTTTGTGCCTCTCAAAGGGTGCGCTGGACCTAAGTATGCCGGAAGAGGCGGCGGCGGCGACGGAGGAGGAGCGGGAAAAAGAGGCAGAAGAGGGTAACGTGGTTGCAGAGGTTGTCTGCTCGCTAGTCCTCCTTATGTCAAGGCTGTACCGGGAGCCAAGTGAGTGGGTAATGCACGTCACCCTTGCCGGTATTGGCGTCCAACTTGCCCGATTTATTGTGACAAAAGAGCGGGGGGAGTCGCTCGACCTGCTGCGGCAGTTGTCTTCCGGCTTGTTGCTGGCCGCGAAGCTGCTGAAGGAATCTCCGTTGCTCACCATCGAGGCGATGAGTTCGGTGTATTTTTTTGACAACTTGGCGGGCGCGTTGCAGCTGGTGGGGCGACAGTACGCAAGTGCCCGCACCGACGAGAGCTATCTGCGAGCGCGAGCGGACGCGCTGCAGCAGCTGCACTCCGTCACGGACTTGGAGGCCTTTCGCGTGCGCAAGCTCTCTGAAAAGGTGCTTCACCTGCCACGTCCACGTTTTGAGCGGCTGGCGGAGGATGCTACCGTGGACGAGTTTTTGCATTGCTATATTAGTTTGCTAGAGACTCAGCGTCTGGTGAGGACGACGGTGGAAGTGCGACGGGATCCGGCGCTGCTCCGCGTGTTCGCAGAGATTGAGCTGACACTAATCAAGGCGTTGTTGGATGCCCCCACTTCCCTCGCCCCAGAATCCTGCATGTACGAGGCATTGATGAAGTACACCATTGCCTCCCTTCCTTTACATGACCTGGGGGCAGTGGAGATGCAGCGTGTTACCCTCATACGCCCATTGATCAACGCTGGGCTCTACCGCATCTTGTTTCACGATCAGGCCTTTAGGGCGTTTCGAGACGATCCACGCCTGTACTACGCGGCGGTATTTCTGCTGCATTACATGCTTACGCACCGCCTCTCCTCGCTGGAGGACCACGTGGAGGAAGAGGTGGGCATCACACTTGATGCCTTCCTTAACACTGACGTGGAGGAAGCATCGCAGGAGGCACAGGAGAGGACATCACTCATGTGCGCGATTTTGATCTCCGCCGTGTACGGCCCCAATGCGGCCCATGTTTTGGAGGCCCTCATGCAACGAAACGCCATATCGATGTTTGCTGCGATTGCCAACAAAGCTAGTATCTCCAATATGCGCAAGCAGGAAGCGGGTGAGGTTGGCGACGGCGATGCTGCTGGTGCTGGTGGTAGTCTTGGGGAGTGGGTGACGTACCTTTTGACGCAGCTATTGCGTCAGCCCGAGGTGCAGCAGGGGGTGCTGCTCAATCAAGCCGAAATTGCTTTCTCGCTTCTTACCGTACGCGACATTCGAGGCAACGCGGAGCAGATGGTGGTGTCGCTGCTTTCGCATCGCTGCGTTGAAGCGGAGTATACGCAACGGATGACGCCGCTGGTAAAATGCACCTGGGAGTTGGTTCGTCAGTGTGTGAGAATCGAGACGGAGGGGTCGCCCGTCGCCGCACCCATCGAAGCCGATGACGAGGATCACCTTTTACTCTCCATATTGTACTGCATTCGTGCCTCACTCCAACTTCTTGCTGTGGATTTGCCGTGTTGGGGTTTCGTGCGACAACTGCAGAATGCCCTCTGCGGAAGCGTCATCAACACCCCGGATCCCTTTCTTTGCCTGCTGCATCGGGCAATTCTGCCCTGGCGCGGTGTGCGGGCGTCTCACGGTCTCTCGTGCATCCTGCAGACGATCGCCATGCTGGTGCAGGGAAATCCAGCCCTGCGTGCTCGTCTTTTTCAGACCATGGACGCAGAGCAACTGGTGACTTGTTTTCAAGACGCATGGTTTGCTTCGCGTGGGGGGTCGTGGCTGGACTTTGTTCGCCTCATTCTTCTGCTTGTGTACGAGGAGGTGGGCGACGCACAAGAGGGGGGTGCGCCGTCCACGTCGAAAAGGAAGTCCAGCACCACGGCTTTGTTGGCACAGCTCAAGGAAGACGCCGGCATACAAAATCCCGAGCTGTTGTCGCCTCTGTTGCGTATCTTTTCGAAGCTGAGTGAATTCAATAAGAGACATCGAGACGCACTGGAGTACCTGCTGGCCCGTCTCTTGCGGACCTTGAAGGCCTCGCTGGTCTCCTTGTGGATGCTGGCCAATGCGGGCGTGTTTGAGGTTTTGACGGCGCTGATTCCTGTTGTCACCGGCACCGCTCTGCTTGAGATGGTGCTGTCGCTGATTATGAATATCGCCAGCCACCACATCAGCGTCCGTGAAACAAAGCAGTTTTTGATTGGTATTGCCCATACAGAGAGCGAGGAGGAGCGGCGGAGGATGGTTCCCATCGTCACGGAGGTGCTCAATGCCGCCTCCTACATGTTTTTAAAGCAGCAGACGGAGCGACAGAACTACATTGCCTTCCGCGAGTGCAGCGGACCGACGGGGGTGAAAGCCATATTGGCAGAGTTCCCACAGGACGGATACACCGTGTGTATGTGGGTGCGTATGGAACGGCGCGCGGACTGGCGTATGCCGCAGTGTATCTTTTCCTTGCAAAATATTGAGAAACGGACCGTGTTGGAACTCGTCGCCACTTTGCATGGAGTCTCGGTCGTATTTCAGAATGCACAAAAGAAAACCTTGGAGCTCGACCTGAACTGCAGCATCCCACCACAGACCTGGACACACTTGGCGGTCGTGCATCGACAGGCCGCATTCCCTTTTAGTGGGAGCGAATTTTTATGCTTTCTCAATGGAGTGGAAGTTGCCGCGGTTTCCCGGGTTCACTACCCCCCACTCTCCCTTGGCTTCTTCTACATTGGAACACGGGGCGAAGACGTGCTACAGCGCTCTTCTAGAAGCTCCTTCACTGGGCAAATGACTGCGGTCTACTTTCTCCTGCGTCCACTGCCGCTGAAGGAGGTCGTGGAGTTTTTCATGGGAGACACGGGTGTGACAAGCGTGAAGCAGTACGCCTCGCAAATTGCCGTGTATATTGATCCCCGCTTTGGCGAACGTGGTCAGGTTCACAATTTGGCGACGCTGATGCGTAGTCGCGCGTCCGAGCTGCCGTTGATCACCTACGAAGGCACCATCGCGTGCAGCACAAACAGTATCATTGACTCCCTCTGTGTGCTTGGTGCACTACATACGGTTGTGGTGCCGCTGCTGGTGCTACTTGTGAATCCGCAACTTCCGTTTCAGTGCCGTGTGCCGCCGGCAAAGCGGAAGCCCGTGCCGGAGGCCACTCGCAAGGCGGTGGATGATCTCTTGAAACTTGTGGAGTCACTTCTGCTTAGCAACATTGTCCGCGCCGACGTGTTGGAGGTGGGCCTTTTCCCTATCATTGCCCATGTTCTGCAACAGTTTGTTGACTACCACTGCCCCAACCTCGCCCAGCGACTGGGCAACATGTGCAACGCCCTCCTATCAAATGTTGCTATTTTTGACGCGGCGTACGCCTCACTTTTTCTTTCGGGGGACCTCTTGCAGGCGTGCTCCGAGGCGACGCAGTTGACGCTGATCAAAACACAACTTGCCATGTGCAGCATAAACAGTGAACTGCGCCAACGTGTGCATGCGCTGGAGTTGCCCAGCTTTGTCGTGAGCGAGATGATTCACGTGTACAACACTCTCTCCGGGCATCACGTAGCCATGCGAAACGAACTCTTTGCTCTCTTGGAAGTTACTGTGGTGGACCCGCTGACAATGAATGACGCGGATGCCCTTCTGCGTCTAATAACTGCAGCTGTAAAACAAGGTGAATCGGCAATATTATTTGGAATTCTTGAGCGGTCTCGCATTTTAATTGCCACACGTAACCCCCTTCTTGCTGCCTTTATGGGCAAGAAGAACTTTGCCGCAATCCTTATCTCGCTTCTAACGGATTCTTGTGCGCCAGTTCAGACTGAGGCACTGCTGCTCTTTTGCCTGCTTGTGAGTCGCTCGCGGCGGACGCAGGAGTTGCTGAATCCCACCCTACTATCTCCACGCGAGGCTGTCCGCGTCACCAGCGGGATTTCGCTCTCATGGCTCAGGGAAGCACTTCACGCCGTGCCTGTGGGTGTGGAGTTGTACACCACACTGCGTGCTGCCCTCACTGGCCGGTTTGATGCACCTATAAAGGATTGTCTAGAGTTGAGGCGAGAGGACAAGCTTCTCTTTGCCCCCGCCCTCACACCACTGCTGCAGATAGTGAAACGGTCTCAGGAGACGGCGTTGAAGCAACGGGCTATGTCCGATGTTGCCGCGTTGTTGCAGCAGGATCCCTCGGCGTGGAAAAGCCTCGTGTCGGTGTCAGGCTGGTATGCGAGCCTTGTGGACTCGTACCTTTCGGAGGATGTTGCCCAGGATGAGCAGACGCGTGAGGAATCGCCACTTTTGGCGTCAACGAAGGCGATATTCGTCAAGGTGATTTTTAACGCGCTTCTGCATGAGGCGTACGGAGCCTCCGAACTGGAACTTTTCGTGGCGTATCTCGTGCAGCAGCGTGCTCATGTCCTACTGAACGCAGTCTTGTTGGGGGTAGTAAAGGAGTATAGTGCATTGCTTTCCACGCGTTATCATAGTTTTGGTGCGGCGCACCTCGGCCTCGGCAACCAACAGGCAGCCACGAACTTCACAACGTTTCTATTTGCGATTGAGGATGTGATGTTTTACTCAGCCACTACCTACCAAACGTACGGGGTGGCGCGGCCGGTGGAGTCGATCTGGAAGCGAGGATACACAGAGGAAGAAGAGCTTGTGCTTAACCCAGTGAAGTGCCATGCACACGACTCTCAGCAACAGCCTCAAGCGGAGGCAGAAGAAGAGGCGGGAGCAGGCGAAATGTCAGAGGGTCGTTCGTTTGCTGGTGGTGAGACTCTGCAGCTTCGCATTCATCCCGATGGCGTTTGGCTGCATGCGGCTCTTGCTGTAAGCACCATGTATCTTATTACGTCACGTGATGCAGTGCTTCATTCAGGTGGGACAAACAATGGCAGCACCTTGGATTTCTCTCTGCGTGGACGTCGGTTTCGTAAAGGAGGGTTTTTGCGCTTTTTTGTGCGCCTTTTTCGTGTCACGTGCAACTTTACCTTGCGTGATGGGGGGCAGGTGGAAGGCATTTTGTTGGTGGCAGAGCGCTGGGTACGCGCGGTGGAGAAGGAGCAGAGCTCCTTCCTGCTGCTTCGTCGCCAGGTGACGGAGCAGCGGGAGCACTCGTCGCTCTCCGGTTCCATGATCATGGTTGCCAGCCTGCACGACCTCCTCGCTCGGCGTTTGCGCTTCTCTGTAGAGGGCGCCTCCACTTTGTTTGAGGACTTGAACCATGAAATCCTGGATCGTATCAAGTGTCTGTGCATTCTGTACAGAAAGACTCTTTTTCAGATGCAGATATTTCAAACAGAGCGTCCCTCGGATGAAAGTGCGCCGCAGACTCGCATGGATACACTTGCCTGGTTGTGTTCCAGGCGACGGGAGGGGTCCATTGTGGAGTTTGTGGAGGTGGCGTCGCGACAGGACTATGATGTTTTTCTGCGTCAGTGCACCCTCATCCTGGAGCGGGACCGGCTGACCGAAAAGCTCATGGCGCGCCTTATTGAGGAGGAGCACGGCAAGGTCATGGGACGGCTGCACAGGATTATCACGGAACTCAGTGTGGCCCGTAAGCAGATGCTTGATGCACTGGAGCAATATATGCAGGAAGCATCCACGGAAACCGAAGGGGCAGGGACGCTGACAGAAAGATTTGCCCCACAAACGGCGCGTACGCTTGCCATGGTGGTGTTCAACGCCATCTGGGCGCGTTTTCTGGAGCGGTGCAAGGGCACCATCTGGGATTTTGACCCGGCCGGACAACACAGCACCAAATACGTCCGTCTGTCGGAAGTGGAGCAGCAGCAGCTTGTTCGTCGCAAATTTGTGTTTGACGCCAATGGCACGGACCACGCGAATATCTCAACCATGGGATCTTCCCCTCCGGTTGTACAAGAGACGGGAGAGGGGCAAACGTGTCCTCGCGGCGGAAAGCGCACGTGGGTAACCACAGAACGTTCGGAGAATGACGAAGAAGAGACGAAGGAAGGGGAGGAGGAGGACGAGGAGGAGGAGCTGGAGGAGGTTGCGGTGCTCCCCCTGGCAACGGAGGAGCAGCCAACAGTACACTTCTCCATGGCATGTGAGGTTCCATACATGATGCACTGCTGGAGTGCGACCATTATGATACGAGAAAGTGATCTTTGCATCTTTTTTGACGATGAGAACAAGGCGTATAATCAGCGAATCGCTCAAGAGGCCGAGTCCTTGCTGCTAAAGCCAGGCAGTATCATTTATCCCTCGGGTCATGTGAGAATGCTGGCGCCAGGTCGCCGGTTTCGAATGCAGCGCAGTGCGGTTGAAATATGGTTCCTTGATGGGAGGAGTGTGTTGATAAACTTCACCACCATTCCAGACATGCGCGCCGCTGTGAGCAACATAAGTACCGCGGCAGAGAGACATAAAGTGCCCTATTTACCCTTGTGCATTTTCCATCTGAATCCCAAGAAGGACCCACGGCTCTGGCGATGCATGGGACAGTGGCGTGAGCGAGAAATATCCAATTTTGACTACTTGCTATGGTTAAATTTCTTCGGTGGTCGCACCCTTAACGACCTCACTCAGTACCCGATCTTTCCATGGGTTATTGCTGACTACACCAGTGACGAATTAGATCTAGAGAGCAGTTCCACGTTCCGTGATCTTACGCTCCCTGTAGGCGTATGTGGAGGTCCACAGTCACGCACACGTGTGGAGATGCGGTACGAGTTAACTAAACAACTTGGGGATGCTCCGGCGCACTACTTCACACACTATAGTTCCTCTGCCGTAGTGCTTTATTACCTGATTCGTATGGAGCCCTTTACCACTTTGCAGGTTATCTTGCAAGGTGGCCACTTTGATCATGCGGATCGCATGTTTCATTCGATAGCTGCTTGCTGGCATGGGGTGACGACGAATTCACAGGATGTGCGAGAAGTTATTCCGGAGCTTTTTTATATGCCAGAAATTTGTATGAACACCAATCGTGTCCGGTTTGGTTGTAAACAAGGCGGAGAAGCGATGGATGCACTTGAATTACCACCATGGTCTCATGGGGACCCCTACGAGTTTATTTACCGAATGCGAGAGGCTTTGGAAAGCGACTATGTCTCCTCAATGCTGCATCACTGGGTTGATTTGATTTTTGGCTACAAGCAGCGGGGCAAGGAGGCGATTGCCGCACTCAACTTGTTTAACTGGCACTCGTATGAGGAGCTGGATAAGAGCCGTGGGGATGACGTGGATCGTCAACTGCTTATTGACTCCCTGGACAACATTGGGCAAACCCCCATTCAACTCTTCACGCAGCCTCACGTTGCGCGACGTCCCCGCGATGTGCTAGATCCAGTACGTTGTTCCTTGAGTGTGAAGACGGCTGATGTTTGGCGCTTGTGTCCCTGCGTGGCGCGCGTGGCGCTAATCGCATCCGATCGTGTTCTTGTCGTGGGTGGAAGTGGGACCGCTCTACTTTTTCACCTTCTCTTGTCTCCGCCCGCGGAACGGGCGAAGCGCACCTCAGCCGCGGGTTCTCTTGCGGTGGCAGCGGCGGCGTTAGGGGACGTCGCCGTCGTCATTTCCACCGGGGGTGGGTCTTCTCGACCCAGCTCGAGTGCGGACGTTTTGCTGGAGCTTAAGCGTCGTACTGCGCCTCTTCCCACCGGCGTGGTGCCAAACACTAGCAAAAGGGTCGGTGGTCCGTGTGAGACGGAAAATGTGGCGGTGCTTTCCTTCGATGGCGAGGCATTTGTGGCATTTGGTGGCCTCTTCGACAACACCTTTGTGATCCGCCCCCTGGACTCCCCCTCCGTCTTTGCGGAGGAGCGCTTAAGCGCGCATCGTGGTCGTGTCATTCGCATCGCGGCGAGCATCGACAGTCGCTACATCGTGAGCGGCGCGGAGGACACCACCTTCATTGTGTGGAGCTGCCACTTGCAGCAGGGACGTGGCAGGCTGCGCGTGGAGCTGCTCTTCACGGTGTACGGGCACGAAGACAATCCAACCGCCGTGGACCTCAGTCCCGCGCTTGACCTCGTCGCCACCGCCAGCAGGGACGGTGTGCTTATGCTCCACAGTCTTGCGAGCAGCCGACTCGAGCGCAGTCTGCGGCACCCGAAGAAGTTTGCCATTGACCGCGTGCTCATTCAATCGACGTGTTACCTGCCAAACATTTTATACGTCTCTGCGGTGGATCACGTTATACATCAGATTAGCATCAACGGTGTGGCGCTGCGGTCAGTGACCGCGCCGGGGCGTATTACGAGCTGGTGCACCACACCAAAGCAGCATATTCTTGTGACGACTGTGCCGTTTACAAATTCGAACGCATCCGAGGAATCGGGCGCGATGGTGCACTTCCTCCATGGCTTTTACCTCGCCTTGTTGAAATCTGTGCCGTGCCCGTCGAGAAGTTCCTGTAGCACACTGACGTGCTGCACGGTTCATCCCTCCAACTCGCAGGTGATTGTGTGCGGTTCCTCTGAGGGGTTCTTGTGTCTTTTGTGTCTTGAGCCGTGAGCGCACCTGCGGCCTGACGAAGGGCGGAGGAAAGAGGAGAGAGAGAGAGAGAGAGCACCCTACATACACTTTAAACACATTTTGCATACACTTACATACCTCATATACATATATATATATATGCGACTCCACCAACACGAAAACGGCAATAGCAACAGGTTGCATTTGCATTTGCATTTCGTCTGAAGTGTTGTGTGTGTGTGTGTGTGTGTGTGGAGCGAGAGAGAGAGAGAGAGAGAGAGAGTAGAGGAGGCGCGACCGACCCCACCCCACCA